TATGATGCCAATGAGAAGGATGCTTGAAATGTTGTCACTCATTGTGCCTAAAAGAAAGTTCAAGAAAGATACTGTTGTTTTAAACTGTATTTTGGATAACATTCAATTTATAGAAAATTGCCGTGGAACCATGTCTGTCTTTTCTTCCTTCCTTCCTCTCTTCCTCCTGCTTTTCTGTCCTCTCAGTTGTCCGAGGGTTTATTGCATGTGTATTCCCTTTAGTTGGCTTCCGTGTGTTTGGTTGTGTATGGCACAGGTGAACTGCCAGCCTAGTAAGTATGGGTGTTTCTGATGTGACTTTGAACTGCAGGGAATTTTACACTGGTGTGGTCATGTCTATAATCTGAAGCTGCTCTCCAGCCCCAGCAGGAGCCCTGACAGTGTGTTTAGAGTCAGCACAGAATGGCCAGTCAGTTTGAGAACGGTTCTCCAATTTTTTTCCATGACAGTGACATTTTGAAGACTATAAAGCTTCAATTTTGTTTGTTGTTTCCCCCAGACTCGTTTCAAAACCAACATTTGTGATTAGGATACTACAAAAAAGGGTGTGTGATGTTTCCAGAAGCATTTAGAAGAACCTGACATTTGTTTGCCCCTTCCTGGTGACCTTGACTTTGAAGGCCAGGTTGTCCTTTCTCCAGTATGTAGTCATTTCTTTTATTTTCATTTTTGTAATTAACATGTAATATTTAATAGTTATTTTTTTCTTTTTTTTTTACTTTTTTCTTTCTGTCTCCTTCCCCTCTTTTTTCTTTTTTTTAAATTTTTTTTAAATTTATTTATTTATTAAGGATTTCTGCCTCCTCCCCGCCACCGCCTCCCATTTCCCTTCCCCTCCCCCATCAAGTCCCCCTCCCTCATCTGCTCGAAGAGCAATCAGGGTTCCCTGACCTGTGGGAAGCCCAAGGACCGCCCACCTCTATCCAGGTCTAGTAAGGTGAGCATCCAAACTGCCTAGGCTCCCACAAAGCCAGTACGTGCAGTAGGATCAAAAACCCACTGCCATTGTTCTTGAATTCTCAGTAGTCCTCATTGTCCGCTATGTTCAGCTAGTTCGGATTTATCCCATGCTTTTTCAGTCCCAGGCCAACTGGCCTTGGTGAGCTCCCGATAGAACATCCCCATTGTCTCAGTGTGTGGGTGCACCCCTCGTGGTCCTGAGTTCCTTGCTCGTGCTCCCTCTCCTTCTGCTCCTGATTTGGACCTTGAGATTTCTGTCCGGTGCTCCAATGTGGGTCTCTGTCTTTGTCTCCTTTCATCGCCTGATGAAGGTTAATATTCAGGAGGATGCCTATGTGTTTGTCTTTGGATTCACCTTCTTATTTAGCTTCTTTAGGAACATGAATTATAAGCTCAATGTCCTTTTTATGGCTAGAAACCAAATATGAGTGAGTACATCCCATGTTCCTCTTTTTGTGTCTGGCTTATCTCACTCAGGATAGTGTTTTCTATTTCCATCCATTTGTATGCAAAATTCAAGAAGTCCTTGTTTTTTACTGCTGAGTAATACTCTAATATGTATATATTCCATACTTTCTTCATCCATTCTTCCGTTGAAGGGCATCTAGGTTGTTTCCAGGTTCTGGCTATTACAAACAATGCTGCTATGAACATAGTTGAGCATATACTTTTGTTGTATGATAGGGCCTCTCTTGGGTATATTCCCAAGAGTGGTATTGCTGGATCCAGGGGTAGGTTGATCCTGAATTTCCTGAGAAACCGCCACACTGCTTTCCAGAGTGGTTGCACAAGTTTGCATTCCCACCAGCAATGGATGAGTGTACCCCTTTCTCCACAACCTCTCCAGCAAAGGCTATCATTGGTGTTTTTGATTTTAGCCATTCTGACAGGTGTAAGATGGTATCTTAAAGTTGTCTTGATTTGCATTTCCCTGATCGCTAAGGAAGTTGAGCATGACCTTAAGTGTCTGTTAAGAATTCTCTGTTCAGCTCAGTGCCCCATTTTATAATTGGGTTGATTAGCCTTTTGCGGTCTAGTTTCTTGAGTTCTTTATATATTTTGGAGATCAGAGCTTTGTCAGTTGCAGGGTTGGTGAAGATCTTCTCCCAGTAAGTGGGTTGCCTTTTTGTCTTAGTGACAGTGTCCTTTGCTTTACAGAAGCTTCTCAGCCTCAGGAGGTCCCATTTATTCAATGATGCCCTTAGTGTCTGTGCTGCTGGGGTTATACGTAGGAAGTGGTCTCCTGTGCCCATGTGTTGTAGAGTACTTCCCACTTTCTCTTCTATCAGGTTCAGTGTGTTCGGACTGATATTGAGGTCTTTAATCCATTTGGACTTGAGTTTTGTGCATGGTGATAGATATGGATCTATTTTCATTCTTCTACAGGTTGACATCCAGTTTTGCCAGCACAATTTGTTGAAGATGCTCTCTTTTTTCCATTGTATACTTTTAGCTCCTTTATTGAAAATCAGGTGTTCATAGGTTTGTGGGTTAAAGTCAGGGTCTTCTATTCGATTCCATTGGTCGACTTCTCTGTTTTTATGCCAATACCAAGCTGTTTTCAATACTGTAGCTCTGTAATAGAGTTTGAAGTCAGGGATGGTAATGCCTCCAGACAATCCTTTATTGTATAAGATTGTTTTGGCTATCCTGGGTTTTTTGTTTTTCCATATAAAGTTGATAATTGTCTTCTCCAGATCTGTGAAGAATTTTGATGGGGATTGCATTGAATCTATAGATTGCTTTTGGTAGAATTGCCATTTTTACTATGTTTATCCTCCCAATCCAAGAGCAAGGGAGGTCCTTCCATTTTCTGGTGTCCTCTTCAATTTCTTTCTTCAAAGACTTATAGTTCTTGTCAAATAGATCTTTCACTTTCTTGGTCAGAGTTACCCCAAGATATTTTATGCTATTTGTGGCTATCATGAAAGGTGATGCTTCTCTGATTTCCCTCTCTGCTTCCTTATCCTTAGTGTATAGGAAGGCAACTGATTTTTTGGAGTTGATCTTGTATCCTGCCACATTACTAAAGGTGTTTATCAGCTGTAGGAGTTCTTTGGTAGAATTTTTGGGGTCGCTTATGTATACTATCATATCATCTGCAAATAACGAAAACTTAACTTCTTCCTTTCCAATATGAATCTCCTTGATCTCCTTATGTTGTCTTATTGCTATTGCTAGAACTTCAAGCACTATATTGAAGAGGTATGGTGAGAGTGGACATCCTTGTCGTGTTCCTTTCAATAGTTAATTTAAAACGGTGCAAATGCTCTGATCATCTCAACCCCACTGTCATGGCCAGCATTGTCTCCTGGTTTGACTTTTTTTGTTTTTGAAGCAGGGTCTCACTCTGTAGTCCTGCGGGCCTGGAATTCTCTGTGTAGAGCATGCTGGGGTTAAAGGCCTGCACTACCCACATCTGAAAAAGTTTCTTTCTTTCTTTCTTTCTTTCTTTCTTTCTTTCTTTCTGTCTCTGTCATTTTTCTGGTTCTTAAAATTTGACATCTGCTGAGGAAGAGCTTTCTCCTCTTCTCCCTCATATACGTCAGGGCTGTGGGCTTCCAGTTCTTGCTTGAGTCAATGGATTATAGTGTGTTGGTGTGCTGACTAATTTTGATACTGAAGTGCCTGGTTGGGCGGGCTGCCCTTCCCTGGCTCCCTTGCTTTGTTAGCATTGCCCACCACCCTCCCCCTCGTTCAGGACCTCCTTGCTTTGCAAGCCGCCTCCCACCCCAGTCTGTAAACACTGACATTCCTAAGGCTTTAGGATTAGGGGCAGTAGAAGAGAGTTTTGAAGAATCCAGTCTGCTGAAAAAACTGTAGTGTGAATACTAATTTTGTTGCTTTTAATTCTGCTCCGACTTTATACTGTATTTACTTAGCGAATCTGTGGGTTTTAAGTAAGTCCTGGACTTTAAAGGAAATTTGGCAGGAGATTGCCTCACTGTTACCTTTCTCCAGTTGTTAATTTAATTTCAATTTGTTTAAATGAGCAAACGCTTCCTCATTTTTTCACGAGCCTCATCCTGTGCATCCAAGTAACAGGGACTGTAAGGGGTAGCGAGGAGGATTACTTCTCTGTCATGAAAGTCTCCCTGTGGATAGCCCTGGGTGCCCTGGAACTTGCAGACTAGACAGGCTGGCTTTAAACTCCCAGAGATCTCCCTTTGTCTCTGCAGTGTTGGGCTTAATGGCATGTGCCAACACACCTGGCAAGATTTTTAAAAATGAAATTTGATTAAGGAACTTAATGCCTATATTTTATACCTGTCTTTAGGACCATTGTGAAGTAACCACCCCCGTGAGTCTTGATGACAGTTGGGCTAGGGATCGTTTCCACACCTAACAATGTGTTGATGGAAATCCCCAATAGTTCCTCACTTCTCAGGCAGGGGATTCCAGTCTCTCTCCAGTTGGCGTTGCTATGTGTTCCTCATGATATTCTTTTTTATTAGCTTTTTGCCTATATTTTTTTTCATAATGTTTAAAACATTTTATCACATCTATTAATCTGCTTTGTGTGTGCATACATGTACATGCACGTAGAGGTCTGAGGACAACCTGAGGGAGTCAGTCTCTCCCTTGTACCATGTGGGTCCCAGGGAATGAGTTTACCAGCTGAGCCATCTCACCGTCCACCCCCAAATTAACTTAATGGGCTGTATTTGATGTCCTTATTTCCCAGCTTGGTATTTTTGCTGCAGACATTATGAACGGGTTTTATATCTGATTAAATAAAATGAGTTCTTGATAAGGCTGGCAGTCCTTTCAACGTCACTAAGAGCCAGGAGATAGTGAATTGTCCTCTGAGAGTGGCTGAGCTTCTTTGGGGAACAAAGCGAAAGGATCCTGCGCAGTGGAGTCCCTGCGGAGATGGCTTGCTGAGCGCCCCATCCCTGTTTACACTGGATGTTTGATCCCATCTCCTGGTGGTCCCCAGTCCTGAGATCGCTGGCCCTCCAGGAATGCTGCTTCCTGGTTCCCAGTGTAGAGCGTCCTCTTTTCACGAAGTTGCTAACGGGTCCTCCTTTCCCTTCCAGACATGACACTCCTCTCTTCTCAGTCTTCATCCCTGGTGGCCCCCTCAGGGTCTGTGTCCCCTGAAAAGCCGGAGCAGAGGATGCTGGAGAAGAGAGCCAAGGTGGTGGCTGAACTCGTGCAGACGGAAAAAGACTACATCCGGGATCTGGAGATGTGCATTGAGCGGGTCATGGTGCCCCTGCAGCAGGCACAGGTGAGAGATGGGAGGCCACGTGACCCTTAGGCCTGAAATGCTGGGGTTGGAGCACTGTGCCATCTACTGCAGTACTACAGTTGCAGGCTGAGTGGCTCAGTGGCGAAAGAACAAAGAATCAGCATAAAGGACAGACTTACTGGGGCACAGTTTCAGGTTTTAGCTTGTGGTTGGTTGGCTCTGTCGCTTCTGAGCCTGTGGCAAAGCAGCGAATCATTATGCAGAGATTATGCAGTAGAAGCAAACTGCTCCCTTCTGGCACCCAGGAAGCAGCGTGAGGAGGGGCCTGACTTCCTCCAGGTAGCCCCTACCTGCTGAGAGACCCTTCTCCTGGTAACTCCACAGGCTTTTAACACGTGACCCTTGGGGTGGGGGGGGATACTCTGGAGATAGACTACACCCTAGGGACAAAGGATGACAGCAGAGATGAACCGAGGTGGGAATGGGTGAAGAGGATGACCTCTGACCTTGGAGTCACACGCTTGCTGTGAGTGAGGTTTCATTCCTTTCATCTCCGTGCATCTCGAGGCTTTCTTTCTCTTGCTCAGGTACCCAACGTCGATTTCGAGGGACTTTTCGGAAACATGCAGACAGTGATTAAAGTCTCAAAGCAATTGTTGGCAGCCTTGGAAATCAGCGACGCTGTAGGTATGAGCTTGTGTAGCTGTTTCTGTCATGGGTGTGGTGGGAGAGGAGTCCTTTGGTGGCCAGGACCCCTCTAGGGAATGACATTTTACATGGTGCAGGGTTTGTGGAGGCCCTGCTTTCTCTCTTACTTCAGTGTGCTTTGATGTGGTTATTGTATTAGCAGTAGAAGCTCTGGGTGTCACAGACAGGATGGTTTTCAGGAGGGTCATGAGGTCAACTTAGTGGAGCGCATTCAGTATTTAGTTTTCAATAAAACAAATGGAAAGTATCAGAATATGCTATGGTAACAGCTACTTGGTATTTATTTATTTATTTTTAGAAGCTTTTATTTCAGTTCTGAGTTATGTGTCCCAGTGGTGACTATAGTGTATTTGCTGCTAGGATGGAAGTCACAGGAAGATCAGAACTTCAAGGTCATCCTCAGCTACATAGCCAGTGGGAGGCCAGCTTGGGCTACAGGAAACCCTGTCTCAAATTTTTAAATCTTTTTGTGGATAATTGTGAAAAATATTCAAGCCAAGCAGTGGTGGCACACACCTTTAATCCCAGCACTTGGGAGGCAGAGACAGGCAACAGGCAGATCTCTGTGAGTTCAAGGCCAGCCTGGTCTACAAAGTGAGTACCAGGACAGGCTCCAAAGCTACAGAGAAACCCTGTCTTGGAAAAAGTAAAAAGAAAAAGAAAAAAATGAAAGAAAAGATTCAGAAAATATTCATCTAATTCTTTTAACCAAGGGGACTTACCCATTACCTCTTGCTCCATGTAAGTGGACACTTAGCAATCAGTAAGCATACTTTAGTCAGTAAACATATGTCTCTAGGTTCTGTGAGTAGGGACTGTAAGGGGCTAGGACAGGTGGCTGTAGCTTAGGGTTGGAGCTGAACTGTTGGCCTGGCTGGGTCTCAGGCTCCATGCCTTGTCACGGAAGCCTCTCTGGACTCTCCTTATAGTGCATGAGTCCAGAGTCACCGGAGGGAGCCAAGGGTGGGAGAAAACCTGGGACAGGAGGATCTCAGAAGGGTCCCTCCATCCCTTATGCCATACTCTGTTGGGATGTCGTGAGAGGAGCTGTACTATAATATCGCTGTTTTAGTAGAATCCTAAAGAAGCCCTTCACAGTTGCAGCTGTCCAGTAAACTCAGCACCATCTAGCAACGTGCCCCTGTGTCATCTTAAGAGTGTCATTTTAGCTGGGCAGGGGGGCATCCCTGCAGTCCTAGTGCTTGGAAGCAGAGGCAGGAGGATTGAAGCAGGTTTCAGGCCAGCCTGGTCTGCATAGTGAGTTCCAGGCCAGCCAGAGCTATACAGCGAGACCCTGTTTCAAACAAGTAAGAGTGCCATTTTAAGTTTGCAGACCTTTTCCAGAAACCATCTGGTTTGGTTTCTCTTTGTTGCTGTCTGGTGCTGGTTGCCATGCCTGTGCCTAGACTGGCTACTAGAGAGAGTGGGATCATTCTTCTGCAGTTCCCTGACATCCTGAGGCTGACATCAAAGCAGAGTCAGGGCCTGCCTTCCTCAGGTGAAACCAGCGCACATGCAGCCGGGCTGGATCTCAGTGGTTTCCCCTGTGAGCCTAGATGGTCTAACCTTGTTTACACAGGAGAAACAGACAATGGGAAGGAAGTTTGCCCATGGTCACGTGGCTCATAGCCCAAACTCGGGTCTTTGTCATTTAGGCTTGTGGCTAAGCTCTGTCATGCAGAACACTAGCTAGCACTGCTCCTGTCGTCGAGCAGTTAGAAAGCCAGGGACCTTGCTGCTAGGGAGATGAGAAGGCACACGTGAGTATGGTGCCCAGCCTGGATTCAGTAATCAGGCGTGAAGGCTGGTGTCCGTAAGATCTTGCCATGAATTTGAAGTACCTGCAGGTGTTTTATGAATTAGGAAAAAGATGAGACATTTAGCTCATCTAAGGAGGATTAATACTCATTTTTCTTCCACTTTGTTTCATTATGTGTTACGTTTGCGCCCTCAGGTGGACCTCACTTCACCAGAGTGACTTCCCCCCTGCTCCCATTTATGCCAAAGATTATAAAGAGTCTTTCTCTGCCTGCCAGCCAGCTCTCAAATAACAACACAGAGATTTCTTATTAATTATGAAAGCTTGGCCTTACCTTGGGCTTGTTTCTAACTAGCTCTTATAACTTAAATTAACCCATTCCAATTAATCTATAGATTAATATAGTGGCTTGTAGCTTTTACCTCTCCTCCTGCATGTCTTGCTTCCTCTGTCACGCTGGTGACCCTGCTCTCTGCTCTCTTCCCTCCCAAAGTTCTCTGTCCCCAAAAGTCCCAACTAACCTCTTCTTGTGCAGCTATTGGCCACTCAGCTCTTTAGTAAGCCAATCACAGTGATGCATCTCTGCCAGGTGTAAAGGAATATTCTATGACAAAAGGTGTTTTAGGTCCCAGCTGGTGTTTGGGGCTTAATGGACGCACTCTTAGGAGATGGATGGTGGGAGCATGGGGTGACATGGTAGGCACAATCAGGGCTCAGATGACTACCTGATCAAGAGGGTCCCCATACAAGTAGTTTCTCAGAGTAAGGAGTCTTCTCCCCTCCCTGGCTGCATCAGGTGAGGACAGTGAGGTGTCCCTTCGTGAACTGGGGCATTTAAGGAGTTCTTGCAGGGGGGAGTTTTGTTCTAAGGTTTGTGAGAATTGCTGTAGGGCTGAGGTCGTTTTGTCTCCTAGAACTTTCCAGGTCAGGATGTCACACTCTGAAGTGACAGGTGTTGGCCCCACGCTGTGTTTGAGTGGACCTCTGAGCTATAATTAGTCTAACACTGTCTCTTAGAGTATGTGAGGAATTACTATAGCCTCAGCCCCACGTTCACACGGTATTGTCTGTGTTTATAGTTCAGACAATATGTTAGGCGATGGACTTCGATATGCTGAGGCATTTATGGGAAAGTAGAATGGCCTTGGAGACGGAAAGGCTCAGATCCAGGCAGGAGGTGCAGCCTTAAGGAGGAGGGTTTGTGGAAGGTGGCAGTGATGTGGGAGGGAGTAGGAGCAGGAAAGCAAGACTGGGCAGTAGCCCCAGTGACAAGCAACCTCAAGGCCAGCATTCAGGTAAACCTGAAGCCAGTGACGGTGGTAGGAAGTGGAAAGAAATTGAGCATCCCATGAAGGAAGGGTCTTTGAGGCTAAGAGAGCTAAATTAAAGCGTCGTGAAGCCACTTACGCAGGGAAGGAATGAAGGAATGAGGAGGAATTTGTTTAATAATTCAGAGAGTTGAGGCGGCTGCTCCAAAAGAAACCCGTGGGCAGGAGAGATGGCATCAGAGTTTGGATCACTCCTGTTCAGCTCCTAGGGCTCCTGCCAGGTGGTTTACAACTGCGTGTACTTCAGCTTCAGGGGATCTGATACCCTCTCTCTGTCCTCTGTGAACACCAGAATATGCCCACACACATAAATAAAATAAAATAGCGTTGTGTGGAACTCGACTTCAGGGTAAGTGCTCTGCCTCATTGGCTGTAAACCCCTGGTCTGTGGATAGATTGCCTAGAATCTGTGAATTTGGATAGAAAAGAAACATTGCGTCTTTGTTTACTTTGGCTGACACTGGCTGAACTGTGACATTCACTGGCAGTGTGACTGTAGGGAGACAGCACCCTGTTAATGTGTCACTAATGGCACGTCTGTTCGTTTCTCCTTAGACTTAAGTTTCAGTCCCACTCAGCAGACATAAATGCTGTTTTAGTTGCTCACCTTTATCACAGAGTGCTCGTGTGGAGATGGCCAAGCTCGATGCTCATCCTGTGATCTGTAATGAAGCACACGTGAGGGGCTGGAGTGAGGGCTGCGGTAGCCAGCACTTGCTTCTGTGCACAGAGGACCTGGGTTTGATTCCCAGCATCCACACGATGACTCACAACTGTCTGTAACTCCAGTTTCAGGGGATCTGAGTCCCTCTTCTGGCATCCAGGGGCACCAGGCACACACACGGTGCATATACAAACATGCAGCTAAACACAAATTAAAAAAAATTAAGCTGGCCAGTGGTGGCACATATCTTTTAATCCCAGTACTTGAGAGGCAGAGGCAGATGAATCTCTGTGAGTTTGAGGCCAGCCTGGTTTACAGAGGTAGTTCCAGTTCAGCCAGGGCTACACAGAGGAACCCTGTCTCGAAAAAGCAATCAATCAATCAATCAATAAATAAATTTTAAAAACCAAAGGACAAGAAAAACACATACCATATTACAAATTGAGGTTTTATTTAATCACAGATATTTAAGGTAGTATAATCAATTGCATTTGTACCCTTATGTTTTTATGTTGTGCACAAAGTTAGAAAACACTGCTGTGGAGGGATATTTTTTTCATCCTTGTGCAGATGTTCCTGAAGAGTATAGAACAAGAGGGTCATATGGCCTGGTCATGTGACCATTGGAGCATGCTTGCAGATGCCATTATCTGTCTTCATGAAGAGGCCTGGAAGCTGTATCAAGGCAGAATGTGTAAATACATGTTCTGAAAAAGAAATATATGGGTGACATAGTTCTGTCAATTGTGGCTTAAATGATTTCTAATTTAAGCGATTACAGGAGTATTTATCAACTTGATGGATTATTTTATTGTTTCTTTTTTTTTAATATTTATTTATTTATTATATATACAATATTCTGTTTGTGTGTATGTCTGCAGGCCAGAAGAGGGCACCAGACCTCATTACAGATGGTTGTGAGCCACCATGTGGTTGCTGGGAATTGAACTCAGGACCTTTGGAAGAGCAGAGCCATCTCTCCAGCCCCTATTTTATTGTTTCTTATAGCAGGAGAACTTGAATGACCATCATGTTTGTCAATATGCTTTGGACTACTAAGAGCAGTCCTGACATTGGTGTATGTTTGTGTATGCTCCAAAGGACCCGTGTTTCTTGATCACCGGGATGAACTTGAGGGAACGTACAGGGTCTACTGCCAGAACCACGATGAAGCCATTTCACTGCTTGAAATCTACGAGAAGGACGAGAAGATCCAGAAGCATCTTCAGGACTCCCTGGCAGATCTTAAGTAGGAGATTCACAGTTCTGCCTTTGCCGCTGCTCTCACCAACCTTTTAGATGCCCCATGGTCATGATATCTCCCACCAACCTTACTTGACACTTAAGTGACACATTATCACGTGTCCTGTGCTGTATCTTGCTCCTTTCTGTTGTGTCATGGGAATCTTAAGTGACTTCCCGATTGTATGGCTTGGTTAGCAAGCCTCTGGTTTCAGCACTAGGAGACTGAGGCACAATTGGAGTAAGGTCAAGTCCAACATAGTCTACACCGTGACTTTCAGGCCAGCCCAGGCCACACAGTGGGGCCTGTCTGAAGGGAGGGAGGAATTGTATGTGTCGCAAACTGAGTCGGCGTTTGTAGCCTCTAAACAGCCGGGGAGATGGCTCGCTGTCTAAGCTGGGATACCCACCCTTGGCATCTATGGTTTCCTTCCATCTGCATGGCTTTTGTCTGCTGAGTAGGCTTGTGGGGATAGTGAGAAGGTCAATGCCATCCGTCTCTAATACTCTCTCTTTCTCTCCTCCTGCTCCCGCCCTATAGGAGCCTGTACAACGAATGGTAAGTCCCCTCATTTGGTGCCTGGTGCACACTATTTATTCAGTGGATTCGTCAGGCCCTCAGAAGGCTGCTTTCATTTCTTCTTAGACAGAAATCTAGACATGCTTGCCAGACTTTTTCTCAGCACTTACCACCAACACCACTTTATTAATTTGCTTAGCGCTTGCTTCTTTTCTTCCCCCATAGCAAGGCTATCTTTGCTGTTCGGCACCTATAGTAGTGCTATCCCTCTGCGGTACAGGACTGGATTTACTGAATAAATGAGAACGGAACGCAGAGTCAGAGACCAAACTGCCTTTGGGGATAGCAGATGATATCCAGAAACACCTTAGCATTGACGGTTGACAGGAGTCCTTTTCCGCTTGCTTTTACAGGGGCTGCACCAATTATATCAACCTGGGCTCCTTCCTCATCAAGCCTGTACAGAGAATAATGCGTTACCCACTGCTGCTAATGGAGTTGTTGAATTCCACCCCAGAGTCCCACCCGGATAAGGTCCCTTTAACCAGCGCAGTGCTTGCCGTCAAGGAAATCAACGTTAACATTAATGAGTACAAGCGTCGGAAGGATCTAGGTGAGAAAGGCGCGTTGAGGTAAAGGAGGTTGCCTGGCTGCCAGGCCCTCCCTCCAAGAAGGCTTTTCTCTAAAGAATTACTCCCCCAGGGGCTCGGCAAGGCAGGGTCCAGGTGTGAGGGGGCCAGGAGGGACAAACAGTGCTGGAATTCGGGGCAGCGGTGGCCTAAGGACAACGTGATGATGAGAAGCCACCAGTCTGGACAGTCGGGAACAAGGAAGGGTGATTAAGAAATAAGTGACAGGCCAGAAAACGCCTCTGCAGGGGGTGGAGGGGCTAGGCCAGTGATTCTCAACCTGTGGGTCGGGACCCCCCCACGCATATCAGATATTTACATTATGATTCATAGCGTTAGCAGTTATGAAGTAGCAGGACATAACTTATGGTTAGGGGTCACCACAACATGAGGAACTGTATTAAAGGGTTGCAGCATTGGAAGGTTGAGAACCACTGGACTAGCCAGTGGTGACGGAGGGTTCTTTGTCACAGTGTCCTATCACATCCTTGAAAGCAGCCCGTGTCAATACCTGCTTAGGTTATTTTCTGACTCATCTAATTTGAGTTTTACTGATCCCTACTAAATTCACAGACCCTTTTATTATCGCCTGTGCCCAGTAGCTTGCTTTCTGACATAGGCCCTCATCTCCCTGTCCAGCCCTGTGCAGCTGGCTAGCTGGATGCTCACCCATTCCCCTGTGGAGTGAGCTGAACTTTTTTATTCTGTCATAGCTCGCACCGAACACTCACAGGCGCGGCATGGTGATTGCCCCTAGTCAGGGTTCAGAGGTCAGAGCCTGCTCTCTGTGTGCTGTGCTTGCCTTAGAGCAAACTTCATGAAAACCCTGCTTGTCTGCTGTGGCTTTGGAAGCTCTCTGCCCCTGGAGCCCTTCCTTTAGGTTCAGCCTCCTGATCCAGGATGTCCTTTCTGCTCCTCCTCCACCATTCCCATCCACTGTAATCTCCAGACTTTTCTGTTCGACACAGTGGCTTTCCTTATATGCATCATTGCATATAAATAACTCATTTGTATACATGACCATCACATACTAATCTTAGATGGTTCAAAAATATTAAGCTCGAAGAGGTAAAATGGCTTTTATAAAGCCGAGCCCTGATTAGTGACAGCCCTGGGTCTTGAACTCACAGGCATCCTGACCTTACATCTCTGCTGTCTTTCCTCCTATCTCAGGCCCCTTCCCTGGCCGCCAGTCTCTGTCTGCCCGGAGAGCCACACTTCTGTCTAGACTGGTTCTTTGAACCAATATTTTGTCTGTTCAGTTATAAGTTATCGAGGACAAGCACTCGTTTCTGTTTGGGTTAATTTCATTTTATGCTCCTTTTTAGAAAAACCTCTGTGTTTCTGGGCTGATACAGTCTCATTGAGTTCAGGCTGCTGGAGGAGGGGGATGGGACCTTTTTTGACCAGTGGCCTTGGCTTGCATCCTAGTGCTTAAGTACCGCAAAGGTGATGACGACAGCCTCATGGAGAAGATCTCTAGGCTGAACATCCACTCCATCATCAAGAAGTCCAACCGGGTCAGCAGCCACCTGAAGCACCTCACAGGGTTCGCTCCTCAGGTGAGCTCCGTGCTTGCAGCATGTCCGGCAGCTCTGCAGGCCCTGGGGACAGCTGCTGGCATGGCTTGGCCCGGGAGCCTTCTTAGTGTCTCCTTGGTTTTGCCTGTTAATGGAGATAGGGCCCTTCAACTACCAAGCTGCTTACAATGTGCACAGAGGCAAATGAGGAGGCCAGCTGGCTCACATACACTAGCTGTCGTGGTCTTCCTACCTCTAAGGCGTTTATAATCTATTCAGAGAACCTGATGCACTGTGCAGACATATAAGCTAGAAGGGATTTAAAAGATCACCTAGATGAATGCCTTACGTTTCGAAGAGGCAAACGTGAAAGGAGGAGATGGAGGAATTTGAACCACAGCTTGGCAGTTGCAGTCTCCAGACTTCATCCTGCACCACACCCAGGTGGAGACGGGGTGGAGAGTACACGGAGCAGAGAATTGCTCTCTGCCTTTCACGCTTTGTTTCTGTTGTACACGGGAGATCGGTGGAAGCATGAGTCTTCACCTGAGAGGGAGCAGGGGAGGGGCTGCCAGTCCGGCCAGGACACAGCAGGGTAGTCAGTTTGGAAGTACGCAGGTCCACATGTGATCAGAATCCAGAGTCATAGAGGCAGGTCACCAAACTCAGTTTCTTATGAAAGGAAACAGCAAATATATATATATATATATATATATATATATATATATATATATATTGGTGAAAGATGTTTCTAAGATATTTTCCCAATAAGGTCTATTGAAAAAAATCCAGGTTTTCTAAATGCACTCCTTTTGAACAGCTAAAAGATGAAGTATTTGAAGAGACAGAAAAGAACTTCCGGATGCAGGAGAGATTGATTAAATCTTTTATCCGAGACCTGTCCCTCTACCTCCAGCATATCCGGGTAAGTGTCAGCGTGGCCCCAGTCAGGGTCGCTCTTCCTCCTCTGGCCTGTTCACAGAGCCCTGGTTAATGAAAGCAATCTGTTCTGAAATGACCACTCTTCCATGGCCAGTGATTTGTATAGATGTTGTCTTCATCAATATGGTCTTACCATCAGTTTGTGGGGAGCCTTTGCAACAGCCTGAGTTGTTGGCCAACCCCTTTGGCCAAGAACTTGATTAGATGTAACCCATACCCAGGACTGAAGCTTCATTTAGTGATGAGAGATATCTAGTCAGGGGCTCTGTTTTTTGGCAATTTCATTCAGGTCGCCTTCACTATATGTACATATATAGGAAGCTTCTATGTGAAATGGCCTCAAATGGCCCTTAATTTTAGCTGTCCCTCCCTCCTGGTTTGATCTTCCTGTTCCAGTCCATCCCTTTGCCCCTTCCCCATGCCATCACAGTCTATCCATAGCTATCTATTCTATTTCCCCTTCCTGGGAAGATCTGTCCCTACCCCCAGTCCCTCACTCTGCACCTAAGCTCTGTGGGTCTACTGTTGTAGTTTACTAATCTAACATCCTAACATACCTAACATCCACATATTAGCAAATGCATACCATATTTGTCCTTCTGGCTCTGGGTTACCTCACTCGGGATGATTTTTTTCTAGTTCCGTCCATTTACCTGTGAATGCCATGATTTCATTTGTTAACAGCAGAGTAATATTCCATCGTGTAAATGTACCATTTTTTAACCCATTCATCCATTGGTGGACATCTGTGTTATTTCCAGTTTCTGACTTATGACTGGATAAACAATGAACATGGTTGAGCAAGTGTCTCTGTAGTAGGACAAAGCATCCTTTGGGTATACGCCCAAGAATAGAATCAATTCCCATCTTTCTGATGAACTGCCACAGATTTCCATAGTGGCTGTGTGATTTTGCACTCCAATGGAGGAATAATCTCCTTGCTTCCCATCTTCACCAGTGTTAGCTGTCACTTGTGTTATTGATCTTAGCATTCTGACTAGTGTAAAGTGGAATCTCAGAGTGGTTTTGAATTGCATTTCCCTGATGACTAAGAATGTTGAGCATTTCTTTACATGTCTCTTGGCCATTTGAGTTCCTCTTTTGAGAATTCTCTGTTTAGATCTGTAGCCCATTTTAAAATTGGATTATTTGTTTTCTTGATATCCAGTTTTTTTGCATTCTTTATATGTTTTGGATATTAGCTCTCTATCAAATGTGGAACTGGAGAAAATCTTTCCCTATCCTGTACTTAATCACTTTGTCAAATGATGGTGTCCTTTGCTGTAGAGAAACTTCTCAGTGTCACGAGATCCCATTTATTCATTGTTGATCTTAGTGTCTGTGCTAACGGTGTTCAGGTCAGAAAGTCTTGTCCTCTGCCAAGGCTGTTCCCCACTTCCTCTCTTATCAGGTTTACTGTGTCTAGTCATACGTTGAGGCTTTTGATCCACTTGGACTTGAGTTTTGTGCAAGATGATAGACACGGATCTATTTGCATTCTTCATCATGCCGACATCCAGCACCATTTGTTGAAAGTGCTGTCTTTTATCCAGTGTGTGTTTCTGGCTTTATCAAAAATCAGGTGTCTATAGGTGTGTAAATTTATATCTGGGTCTTCAGTTGGGTTCCATTGATCAGTGTGTCTATTTTTGTGCTAATACCATTCTGTGTTTATTGCTATAGCTCTGTAGTACAAATTGATATTTGGAATGGTGACACCTCCAGTAGTTCTTTGATTGTTCATGATAATTTTATCTGATAATTGTCACTTTAAGATCTGTGAAGAATTGTGTTGGAATTTTTATGGGGATTCCATTGAATCTGTAGAATGGTAAGATGGCTATTTTTTCAAATGATTTTTTTTTATTTTTACGTTCATTGATATTTCACCTGTATGCATATCTGTGTGAAGGTGTCTGATCTCCTGGAGCTGGAGTTTCAGGCAGTGGTGAGCTGCCATGTGGATGCTCGGAATTAAGCTTGCATCTCTGAAGAGCAGCCAGTGCTCTTAACTGCCGAGCTGTCTCTCCAGCCCCAGGATGGCCATTTTTACTATATTAATCCTGCTGGTCCATAAGCATGGAGCTCTTTCCATCTACTGATACCTTCTTCAGTTTCTTTCTTCAATATCGTAAACGTTTTAGTCTTAGAAATCTTTCACTCGCTCAGTTAGAGTTACCCCAAGATATTTTATATTTTTTATTGAGGCTATTGTGAATGGTGCAGTTTTTCCTGATTTCTCTCTCAGCCCATTTGTCATTTGTAGTATAAATTTTTTGTCAGCTAACTTTGTACCCTGCTACCATGCTGAAAATGTTTATTCACTGTAAGAGTTTCCCGGTGGAACTTTTGGGGTCACTTATGTGTACTATCATATCATCTGCATATAAAGATACTTTGACTTCATTCCAATGTGTACCCCCTTGATCTCTTTCAGTTGTCTGATTGCTCTGGCTAAGACTCAAGTACCATACTGAATGGTATGGAGAGAGTGAGCAACTTTGCCTTGTTGCTAATCTTAGCAGAATTGCTTTGAGTTTTTCTCCATTTAAGTTGATGTTGGCTGTGGAGTTGCTATAAACTGCCTTTATTATGATGAAGCATGTCCATGTATCTCTAATCTCTCCAGGACTTTTATCATGAAGGGGTATTGGATTTTGTCAAAGGCCTTTTCTTCATCTAATGAGATGATCATGTGGGTTTTGTCTTTCGGTTTGTTTATGTGATAGATTACATTTATTGATTTACATATGTTGCCCCATCTTTGCATCTCTGGGATAAAACCTCCTTGATCATGGTGGATGATCTTTTTGAGGTGTCTTGGATTCAGTTTGCTAGTATCTTACTGAGAATTTTTGCATCTATGTTCATAAGGGGAAATGGTCTGCAATTCTCTTTCTTTATTAGGTGTTTCTGTATGAGGGTTAGGTATCAGGCTGTGGCCTCATAAGATGAATTGGGTTGTGTTCCTTCTGTTTCTATTTTGTGAAATAATTTGGGAAATCTTGGCATTAACTCTTTTTTTAAAAAGTCTGGTAGAATTCTGCACTAAATCCATCTGACCCTGGACTCTCTTTTTGGTTGAGAAACTTTTAATGGCTGCTTCTATTTCACTAGGGCTTATAGGTCTCTTTAAATTATCTATCTGATCTTGATTTACCTTTGGTAAGTGGTATGCATCAAGAAAGTTAAGCATTTCTTCTAGATTTTCCAATCTGGTAGAGTACAGGTTTTTAAAGTCCATTCTTAGGATTCTTTGGGTTTCCTGGTCTCTGTTATGTCTCCCTTTTCATTTCTACTTTTGTTAATTTGGATTTTTCTGCCTTTTAGTTAGTTTGTATATAGGTTTGCCAATCCTACTGATTTTTTTCAAAGAACCAGCTCTCTGTTGGTTTTGTTTATTCTTTGTACTGTTTTTTTGTTTGTTTCTATTTTATGATTTCAGCCTTGAGTTTGGTGGTTTCTTGCTGTTTACTCTTTTGGGGCATGATTTCTTCTTGTTTGCTGTAGATCTTTCCAATCTGCTATTGAGTTACTAGCATGAGAATCCTCTCGTTTCTTTATGTAGGCAGTGCTGTGAATCTGCCTCTTAGCCCCTCTGTCATTGTGTGCCATAAGTTTGGTTATGTTATGTTTTCATTTTTCGTTCAGTAGTGAGTTCAGTTTCAATGAGTCCATACGCTTTCTACTGTTTCTATAGTTGTTGAAATCCAGCTTTAATAGATGAACAGATAGGATGCAGGGTTGTTTTTTGTTTTTTTTTTTATTTTCCTGTAGTGTTGAGACTTGCTCTGTGCCCGATTATGTGGTCAGTTTGAGAAAGTTCCATGAGCTGCCGAGAAGAAGGTATACTCTTTTGTGTTTGGTCGAAATGTTCTGAAAATATCTGTTAAATCCATTTGGTTTATGACATCAGTTGGTTCCAATATTTCTGTTTAGTTTTTGTCTGGATGACCTGTCCATTGGTGGAGTATTGAAGCTCCCACTATCAGTGTGTGAGGGTCAATATGTGGTTTAAGCTGTAGTTATGTTTCTTTTCTTAATATGGGTACCCTTGTGTTTAGGGCATAGATGTTAAGAATTTCAATGTCCTCTTGGTGGATTTTTACTTTGAGTATCTAGTATCCTTCCCTATTTCTTCTGATTAGTTTTGGCTTGAGGTCTATTTTGTGAGATATTAAAATGGCTACACCGACTTGCTTTTTAGGTCCATTTGCTTGGAATCTTTTTCCATTATTTTACCCTGAGGTCTATCTCGATGTTGAGGTGTATTTCTTGGCTGCAGTGCAGGGGTAGATCCTGTTTTCGAATCCATTCTATTAATTTGTGTCTTTTTTGGGAGGAGTTGAGAGCATGGATGTTGAGTTACCAATGAGCAGTGTCTGTTGACTTCCGTTATTTTGTCCTTATGGTATGGTTCCCCCTCCCCCACTCATTTTGATTTGCTGGCCTGGGATTATTTATTACCTGTGTTTCTTGGGTGAGTTTAACCTCTTCAGGTTGAAGTTTTCCTTCTAGTACTTTCTGTAGGTTTCTATTTGTAGATATTTACTGCTTATATTTGATTTTATCTTGGAATGTCTTTCTTTCTCCATCTATTGTGATTGAAAGTTTTACTGCATATAGAATCACGGGCTTTACGATAGTTGTGTTCCTCCCTCCTTTGAGGTAAAACTCTACTGCAGTCCATAGATTTACACCACCACACCCTACGAACGGTTATTTCTTTAAGAGGAAGTAAGAAAATAATCACCTTTGACATTAGTTCTCCACTAGAGAAGAACTGAGGAGACTCCTCAGTCTATCCTGCTGACAATGTATAGGCTTTTTTAAAATATATGACTCCTCGTATATGTATGTTTTTAAGAGTGAAATACCTAAAAGTGTAATGAACTGTGAACGTATGAGACACGGGCAGTTTTTACTAAGCGGTTTTGTTAACTTTTGAAATACACTCATGGAGGTCTTCTGTATTTGGATTTCATCTGCATTGATATCAATACAGTAGGTGTTTCCTAAACTTAAACCATCAATCATGTGCCAAGCAGACAACCTAGCTCAGGACGCAGAAACAGTCTGGATGGGTCAGGAGCCTCTCCTGTGCAGTTCACTTCTTCAGCGCGCAGACAAGGAGACACCAAGGCTCAGGGAGTCACGCCACCTGACAGAAGATGCTTCTGTAGTGATAGGAGGGTGGAGGCCATCAGGGGAGCCAGAGTCAACGGGGGAAGCAGAACAGGTTGTCAAGAGGGAGGCTGAAGCAGCTGTCCTCAGGAAGGGGCAGCATAAGCCAAGACTTGAGCAGGGAGGCCATTGCTCATTAATCCCCCAGGAATCATCCGGTTCTGAGCTGATTTGTTTACGGTGAATTAAGAAACTCTTGGGTGCGTGGTTTGTCAGCACATAAACTTAAATCAGGACATTACAGAAAAGGTTAGCATGGCTCCTGCTCGAGGATGACCCACAAATTCACAAAGCCTCCCACATCAAAAGAGAAAAACTCTTCCAGGTCCATTCTGAAGAACTTAGGTTTGCTTCCCAGCACCCACCTCAGATGAGCAGCTCACAGTCTGTGACCCCTCTTCTGAGGGGTGTGATGTCCTCTTCTCGCCTCCACAGGTGTCCACATGTGCATACACACAGTTTTTAAAAAATCTTTTTGTTTGATTTTGTTTTGTTCAAGGCAGGGTTTCTCTGTGTAACCTTGGTTACCCGAAACTCTTTGTAGACCAGGCTGGCCTTGAACTCAGAGATCCATCTGCCTCCCAAGTCCTAGGATTAAGGGTGTGCGCCATCACTGCCCTGCTCTTTTGTTTTTTATTTTTTAACTTAAACAACAAGACCTTTCTCTGACTGGGGTACAGAAAGATGCTAAGCTGATAAATCCACCAGTCGTTCTATACCATAGTTCTGTTCTCTGCACCCCATCCATCCTTTATAAGGGCATGCATATTTCAGTGTGAAAATATTGCAAGAGAAGGGACTTTGCAGGCAGATTTGCCATTACAAGCTACTGCTCAGGTGACTTTTTATCTCACTTTGTCTTTCTCACGGGCTCTAGGAATCTGCGTGTGTGAAGGTGGTGGCAGCCATGAGCATGTGGGATCTGTGTATGGAGAGGGGACACCATGACCTGGAGCAGTTCGAGAAGGTGCACCGTTGCATCAGCGACCAGCTCTTCACGCGCTTTGTGAGTGCCTGTCCAGCCTCGTTTCCAGGCTTGGCTTCCTTCCCAGAGCCCTCTCAAAAGGCAGCTCACACCAAAAGTCCCTTCCCGAGGCCTGAGTCACAAGCTTTAGTGTGCGGCATCAGAGTTTGAGGCAGAGCGCGGCCAGTGTGGGGACAACAGAGCCTGGGGATATTCTGGGGTCTCCCCATAACTTACGTTATTTCAGAGGACAATCTAGGGTGAAAAGCTAGGAAATGTAGTCTGGTGGATTCACTGAGTATACTGATCTCAAAAAAAATTTATTCCTCCACATTTCTTTTCCAGTTAAAATATCATCAGTAAATGACTCCATAGAGAAAGTGCTACAGGGGCAGATTGCTTAAGAACTTCCAGAGAGAAGTGGGGGCCGTTGCCAGCAGATTGTGTAGCTTTGTTAGAGCCTTCTGCTGGGAGGAAGGCTAAAGTGGGAGGGCGGGCATGCACACTGGGAAACTTACAGGGGCTCCCGCAGTAAATTCTTTTAATGGTATGCCACTAGGCTGGGACAGCTCAGCTCCCAAAGAGCATGAGGACCTAAGCTCTTGTTTTGTTGTTTGTTTGGTTTTGATTTTTCAAGTCAGGGTTTCTCTGTGGAGCCCTGGTTGTCCTGGAACTCACGTTGTAGACCAGGCTGGCCTTGAACTCAGACATCTGCCAGCCTCTGCCTCCTGCATGCTGGGGTTAAAAGGCATGTGCCACCATGCCTGGCCTGAGGACCCAAGTTCTATCTCTAGTACACTTATTAAAAAAGAGCCGGTGTAGTGGCACACTCTTGTTTGTTTTGGTTTTTTGAGACAGGGTTTCTCTGTAGCTTTGGAGCCTGTTCTGGAACTAGCTCTTGTAGACCAGGCTGGCCTCGAACTCAGAGATCCCCCTGCCTCTTCCTCCCAAGTGCTGACATTAAAAGTGTGTGCCACCACTGTCTGGCACACTCTTGTAATCTCTGCACTGAGGAGGCAGGGACAGACAGGTGGCTCACTGACCAACTGTCCAAGCTTACTTGGTGTATTTCAGGATGGCAAGAGATCCTTTCTCAAAAGGAAGGTAAATGGCCCCTGAAGCATGACACCAAGGGTGCCCTCTGGTGTCTGCACACATGCAGATGATACACTACCGAGTGCTTTCGTATATTTTTATGTGTTTAACAGCTACTCTCAATGTCTGTCTTTCTAGAGGAATAAGAGGAAAATCCTCTGAAAAGTAAAAGTGGGCATTGCCACACGGTAATGACTGGAAACTGAGCGAGAGGACACTTCCCAGACTTAACGATTATCTGCAGCTAAAATCAAGTGTAGATAAGTGCGTGGCACAGGGTGACCACACAGACTAGTCACACATCATAATGGAGTATACTTTAAGGGGTGGTGGCAAAGGCCTATTATGAGAACTGCAGGGTGAAGTACAGTAGGGCGTGCCTACGGGTCTACACAGAGTCACCTTAGAGCAAAGAGGGGTACAAGGCATGACCAAATCAACCTTAAAGTGCTTTGGAGACAAAAATGAGATCCTGACCAGCTACCTGCCTTTCTTGTCCCCACAGAAGGAGAGGACTGAGCGGCTTGTCATCAGCCCCTTAAACCAGCTGCTGAGCATGTTCACGGGGCCCCACAAGCTGGTGCAGAAGCGCTTCGACAAGCTTCTGGACTTCTACAACTGCACTGAGCGTGCAGAGAAGCTCAAGGACAAGAAGACTCTGGAGGAGCTTCAGTCAGCCCGGAACAATTACGAAGCCCTGAACGCCCAGCTGCTGGACGAGCTGCCCAAATTCCAGCAGTATGCCCAGGGCCTCTTTACCAACTGCATCCATGGCTACGCTGAAGCCCACTGTGACTTCGTGCAGCAGGCGCTGGAGCAGCTGCAGCCCCTGCTGTCGGTGCGTCCTTCCCTCTGCTAGGACCGCGTTATCTCTGAAACACAATGGGTGCTTTCTAGAATTCTTGGTAGGGTCATTTGGTCTTGCCATCAGGGACTGTTGGTCCATTCTTGGTGTCTTGAAGCCTGGGGTTGGTCCATCTTGAGCCATTTCTAGAAGGGTCAGCTCGCAGGCAGTGACAGAGCTCCTTGTCTCTTGCATCAACTGCCGTTTTGACGCCTAATTCAGCCAACTACAGTTGACCGTAGTGTGTGTAATTGGCTCTGAAGACTTTGTCAGGCCCAGGGATCTTTCATCTGTGTTCTCTTCTTTCCTGTCTTGACTCCCTACGGTCTACAGTCACTGAGAGCCACTGACCGAGAAGGCAACTTGATTGCCATCTTCCACGAGGAGCACAGCCGGGCCCTGCAGCAGCTTCAGGTCTTCACCTTCTTCCCCGAGTCCCTCCCTGCTCCCAGGAAGCCCTTTGAGAGGAAAACCACAGACCGCCAGTCATCCCGGAAGTCCCTTCTTGGCATGGTGAGTAGGCACCCAGTGTGGTGCCCAGTGCTGATGGACACATGGGCACCTGAGCATGTCACTTAGCTTCATCATCTCTAACCCAGATGGTAGATGATAATCACCAGCCCTGCATCACAGGGCGATCACCAGACTTAACTAAGTTAACATGGGGAGTCGCCCAGCACATAAGCACTGTGCAGATAGATATTAATATCGAAGACCTATTGTGCTTCTGCATGGGGACAGCTTAGTGGCAGTTTTGACTTTTCATAATAAATGGAGAATAAGAGACTATTGGGCCTGTTCCATCCCAGGCTGTTTCCGGAGCATCACCAATGTGGCTCTGGTTCCCGACTGGGACCACCTGGAGTCTTGATGTGAATTTCAAGCTGCCTTCTGGAATCCTTCTTAGTAAAGCATTGATACATGGATGAGTTCATGAAGGGGAATGAGTTAGAGATTTACTCAGGCCTATTTTTGACCATGTATTAGAAAAGTCAGCACAACCAAACTATTAATGACTTTTCACCTGGAGTGGCATTGTAGTTTTTTTGTTTTTAACAGTTCTTTCCTATTTTAAGTCTGGGGGTAAGATATTCCAGATCATGTGGGTGCCTAGCCAGAAGGACCAACCAATGATCTTCCTTCCGTAGACATTTGTCCCATAGACTCCCACAGACAGCCAGTTATTACCTTTAGCTTTTCATTTTTAAGATTTTTATTTTAAATTATGTGTATATAGGTGCCTAGAGTCCAGAAGAGGGAGCTGCCGTTGCAGATGGTTATGAGCCCTCCGACATGGGTGCTAGTTTTCTACCAGAGCAGAATTACTTTAATACTCATTATTTAGGTGTATCTAGCAATGTGATAGAAGATCACATTGGGATTTGGATTTTAAATTTCATTTATTTTGATAGTAGCCGTTGTACCAAGGCCTTACGCGCGCTCAGAATGTGCTCTGCAGTTGGCTGCACCCTCCCTACCCCAGTATTGGGTCGTTTAGCACTTTAGTCAAATTTTTGCTTTTCTATTTTTGCATAAAATAAGGATGTTAGCTTGCCTCATGCCTTCAGAGACATCAAAACGTTGCCTAAAGGACAATTTTTACCTAATGCATCCTGACTTGATTATGAAAGTATCTTTTGTAGGTAGTTGAGTGGCTGAGGGTTGTGCCTTGCTCCTGAGATGGTAGATGAGATTAAATACGAGGCTAAGGTGATGGCGGGGTTCTTACTGTCCTGTGCTAGGAGGACATCCAGGTTCTTATGGTCCCATGCTAGGGAGACCACGGGGTTCTTACGGTCCCGTGCTAGGAAGACAGCGTGGTTCTCACTGGCCTTGTTCCTCAGCCGAGCTACATGCTGCAATCAGAAGAGCTGCGGGCCTCCCTGCTGGCAAGGTACCCCCCTGAAAAGCTCTTCCAGGTGGAACGGAACTTCAACGCTGCTCAGGACTTGGATGTCTCCCTTTTGGAAGGCGACCTGGTGGGTGTGATAAAAAAGAAAGATCCCATGGGCAGTCAGAACCGCTGGCTCATCGACAATGGAGGTGAGGACTGCAGGCTCTGGGGAAATGTGACCCAATGAGGAAAGACATGCGAGCTTTTGGTTAAGGGGGTGTGATCATAGAACTGTCCTGGTTTCTAGAGAGAGTGTGGCACCCAGGTTGATAGTGAAGCCACATGCTTCGGATTGCATTTTTTTGACAACTTTCAGAGATTCTGTTATATTTATTTTTCCTGAAACTGTTGCCATGGGTTTTTTTTTTTTTAAGTCACCCAGGCAGCTGCCCTCTGAATCCGTAAACTGTATGAATTAAAAACCTGTGGTTTTGTTAGCTGTCCCTGTAATAATGTTACTTCATGGCTGTTTAGAGAGGGACGTGAAATCAAACACTTCACAGCTTTCTTTATTTGGAGGAAGATTATAGACTTTAGTATAATCCCTTTTCCCACAATCTCCAAATCCACAACCCCAAGTTTAGACCAACAGGGCTCTTTCAGAACCTGTTTGCCGCAGGGCAGGGCTCACAGTCATCACTAGCCTTTCCAGCAGGAACCCTTGTCTGTCTGCTGTGGAGGGTGGGGAAATAGATAAATGTTTTGGTTTGAGGAATATCCAATATTTATGAGTTCCAAAGCTTCCGGCCTAAGTATTCTAAGTAGAGTTTGGGGGGTATAGGCCAATTTGAGCATTTTGGGGGTTTCTTTAAAAGCTTCTTGTGGGCTGGGGAGGTTGATGAAGAGCCCTCAAGGTCAGTGGTTTAGAGTTCAGACTCCAGAATCTATGGGAAAAGCCAGAAGACATACCTCATACTACATCCAAAGACATCCTGCCACGTGGGATCCCAGCCAGGATCATCCCTCAGCTCTAGAAACCTGGATTCCTTCCTGAGCAGAGTCCTGGGACAGAAACAAAGAAAAATTGTGATAAGATTAAAATGCCAGCGTTTAATAAGAAAGAAACCGTAAGGGAGACATTCTTTGGGCATGGAGTTGCATGCCCAGGGACTGTGCTCCTCGGATTTCTTTCTTATGAGAAACATCTTTGTGTTTGAAATGTGTGGCCCGGAGCCCTCCATCATCACCATAGACATTTTGTTGAGGTGCACACGCTAGACTCAGCGTCCTGCGTTATAGTACTCATGGCAGTCCACGGCTTTCCATGACCCTAAGATGGTTCTGGTATATGGAGAGGGCAGGCACAGATGGCCTTACTGAGCGACTCAGCACAAGGACAACCTTGAGATCTGTTTTTGACATGGTGTATTTGAATTTAAGCTTACCCGAGTCTTCTCTTGTGTGGTCTGGGCATCCTGTTACATTGTCTTTTGTGCCTGTTGCCAAACGTGATACTTTTGTTTCCTTTTTTGGTCCTGTTATTTTGCAACAAGGTCTCTCACCTTGTGGCAAGGCTATCCTTGAACGTGGAGTAATCTTTCAGTTTCAGTCTCCTGAGTGCTGAGGTCACAAGTAAGAGCCGCCAAATTTTGGTGTTTCATTAGTTATTTTTAAACAAACATGATTTGTTTTGTGTTTCTCACCAGCCTGTTAATTGCCCACAGACATCCTTGTCATTTTCATGTTGTGCTGCTATAATAATGACCTGGAAGGCAGCCACTGGTTTGGGGCATTTTCTGGCTTTGGCTGTTGCAAGCCATCAGGTCACTAAGCACTTGGGTTTTGCCTTCCTTGATCTAACTTTTTTTTTTTATGAGTATGGTGATTTGGCTGCATGTGTGTCTATGCACCACATTTGTGACTGAAGGTAGTATTGAACCTCCTGGAATTGGACTTTATGAATAGTTGTCAGTGCCTTGTGGATATTGGGAATCGAACCCAGGTCCCCTGGAAGAGCAACTGGTGTTCTTAACTGCCCAGCCATCACTGCAACCCCATCGACGTAGCTTTTAAATTACACACACACACACACACACACACACTCACACACACTCACACACACTCACACACACATTCACACACTCACACACAGACTCTCACACAGACACACATTCACACACACATTCACACACTCACACACACACTCTCTCTCTCTCTTGCTCCAGCTTTAGCTGCTGTTCTTTCCTTCTGCAGTCACCAAAGGTTTTGTGTACAGCTCCTTCCTGAAGCCCTACAATCCTCGGCGCAGCCATTCGGACGCCTCCGTGGGCAGCCACTCGTCCACAGAGTCAGAGCAGAGTAGCTCCTCGCCCAGGGTCCAGCGGCAGAACAGCAACAGTGCCTTGACCTTCAACTCCAACATGACTGTGTCCTTCACCTCAGGGCTTTCCCCAAAGCAGCCCCAGGACGCCTCTTCACTGAAGGAATGTGACCAAGGAACTCTTGGTCTGTCCTTGAATGCCGGGAGTGCAGAAACTGGGCCTTCCAGGTGCTTTTCAGACCCAGACTCCACCTGCCAGCTTAGGTCAGGGGACTCTGCAGATGGTGCCAGAGACGTAAGCCAACCTGTTTCGACCCTGAGGGGCTGCCAGCGAAGTTCCAGGCATCCAGAGGTGGTAGGTTACTCTGTACCAGGGCGAAATGAACAAGGTAATGACTCGGTAAAAGGAAGTGCAAGAGCCTATCCAACTCCAGAAGACAGGAACCCAAGAGCCTACCAGACTCAAGAAGACAGGAACCCAAGAGCCTACCAGACTCAAGAAGACAGGAACCCAAGAGCCTACCAGACTCAAGAAGACAGGAACCCAAGAGCCTACCAGACTCAAGAAGACAGGAGCGCAAGAGCCTATCCGACTCCAGAAGACAGGAGCAGAGGGCTCGGAAGCAGTGAGACGGAAGGTAACCAGGTACGCACACCCCGCCCCTGTGTGGCTCCCAAGCAGGGGCAGATGTAGAGCGAGTACAGGAGAAGGCCAGACGGGCTGTAACCCTATCCTGTCATACATGTCACAGAACCCCACTGTCTTAGGGAGCAGCCCCCCTCTCCTGCACAGAGCTTCCACAGACACTTCCAGGCCCCTTCTGCTTTGTCACTGGATGCCAAGATAAAATCTGTTTTTACTCTTCAAACCTATGCATTCATCCAGTGTAGGGGCTGCTATTTAACCTACCCAGCCAGGCTTTTGTCCCCTAGCTCTAGCTTTATTCCCAGAATTTAGAAATGAAGGTCAGTGCTGTTTCTGCTTTTCCTGTTTTTGCATGCCCTGCTCCTGCCTCATGAGCCAGGTGTCCCTTTTCTCTCACACATTTTGGTCCCCCACGGAGTCGAGGCTGCACCCGTGTTGACAAGGCTCACACAGCAGTGGGTTTCCTGGTTAGTCATAGATGTGTTATGTTGCCATGGCTGGAGTCTAGATTCTAAAAGCCTCCTCCCCAGTTCGGCTTTCATGTCCCAGGAGAATGTGACACCTGCTCGCTTCTGCCTGCCGGTTCCCTCTGCTGACAGCCTAGGGCAGGTTTCCCAGTTCTGGACCCGAGTGGACCGCATCTTCTGACTTATTGACAGGGGGCTCAGTTCTAGCCTCATCAACTCCTGAGCCTGGGCTGTCCTGAAACATGGCCCTTGTGGCCTCACGGCTTCTCCCATCACTGGAGTCCTCCCCTTCTCCATGCTGTGCTCTCTCTGTCCTCCTGACGGCACCTACTGTTAGATATTTTACTCTTTTGACTTTTGGGGAGTTCACCACCCAGCTCCCAAATAAATCATACACAGAGACTTTTTCTTATTTATGAATACCCAGTCTTAGTTTGGCTTTTTTTGTTTTGTTTTGTTTTGTTTGTTTTTCGAGACAGGGTTTCTCTGTGGTTTTGGAGCCTGTCCTGGAACTAGCTCTTGTAGAACAGGCTGGTCTCGAACTCCCAGAGATCCGCCTGCCTCTGCCTCCCAAGTGCTGGGATTAAAGGCATGCGCCACCACTGCCCGGCTTTTTGGGGGGGGGGGGCTTATTTCTTGCTAGCTTTTCTTAAATTATCCTGACTACCTTTTGCCTCTGGACTTTTTCCTTTTCTTCCGTGTCTCTCACTTTTACTCCTACCCGCTGGCCCCTGATGTCGTCCTCCCCTTCTCTTTTCCTCGTTTCTCCTTCTATTCATACTCTGCCTGCCAGCTCTTTATTAGACCATCAGGGGTTTTAGACAGGCAAAGAATCACAGCTTCACAGAGTTAAACAAATACAGCATAAACAAAAGCAACACACCTTAAAATAATATTCCCCAACAATCTACAGATGTTTCTTGCTTTGAGATTATTCATGTGTTATTACTTTAGTTTGGTTTGGGATTTTGTTTTTCTTTCCTGTTCTGGGAATGGAGCCCGCCCAGGGTTTGGAGCAGGCTAGCCTGTGCTCTGAGCTCTTAGCCTAATGGAGACTTTGTAGTGGAATATAGAATTGGGGTAGACAGTCCCCTCGCAGCTCACCATCTTCCATATTGCCAAGGTTCCTGCTGTTCTTTAAGGCTGTTCTGAAACAAAAAGGTCTGCATGTTTTGAGAGTTTTTGGTTGTAAGATGAGTCTCACCAGGTAGCCTAGTCTGGCCTGTAGTTGGTGGCACGCCCCTTGCCTCCGCCCTGTTCATTATGGATTACTCCAATCATATGCAGCTATTTAAACTGTAATCAGATTAGAAATTCACCTTCAGCCCAACAGTGGTGGCGCACATCTTTAGTCCCAGCACTCAGGAGGCAGAGGCAGGCAGATCTGAGTTCAAGGCCAACCTGCTCTACAGAGATTGTTTCAGGACAGCCAGGGGTACACAGAGAAACCCTGTCTTAAAAAAAACAAAGATTTTTTAAAAAAGAGAGAAAGAAAGAGAGAGAGAGAGAAGAAAGAAAGAAAGAAAGAAAAAGAAAGAAAGGAAGGAATTCCACTTCCAGGCCCACGGGTGACCAGTAGACTCAGTACATATCGCCCTCACAGGGCTGCTGCAGCAGGTTCCTAACCCTCTCTTTTCCTTCACATAGGTCTATTTTGCCGTCTACACCTTCAAGGCACGAAACCCAAATGAACTGAGTGTGTCGGCCAATCAGAGACTCAAGATCCTTGAGTTTAAAGATGTCACAGGCAATACAGAGTGGTGGTTGGCTGAAGTTAACGGGAAGAAGGGCTATGTCCCTTCCAATTATATCCGGAAAACTGAGTACACCTGAGCCCAGGTTGCCCCCACCCTCCCTTGCTGCCACTTTCAGCCCGCTGAAAGGATCTGTGGGCCCCAGGCACCCGCTCCTGAGCGCAGGCCCCACCACACTGCCTATCCATAACTGGAGTGCAAGCTTTGTTCTCGATTGGGTTGTACACCGTGATGCTCGCTAGAATTTGAAGTGGACCCCAGTGCTTGTCAGTGATTCCCTGACCACAAGCAGCAGCCAAGTGCTGGTGTTGGCTTTGGGAAATGAGAAGTTTCCAATCAGAAAAGCAGTATTGGATGCAGGAAGCTTGTGCATCGGTTGTTGCAGCCTCTGTGGTTGACTGAGCAGTCAGCTGAGAGGAAGAGGAGCATGCTGGGAGAACCCTGCCACCATGCCTCTGTGCTTGGTAAAGATTTCGTCAGGATCATATTAAACCTGGTGCATCAAAGTGACTGAGACACCCCCAGTACCTGGCACCCCTTCTCTGACGTGCTCCCGATTCCTAGTTCTTGAAATGCTAACCTGTTCTTTCTCGCTGCTTCCTCTGTTAGGTGTTTACAGTCCTCCTTTCTTTTGACCTTGTCAGGCGTGGTCATCTGCCTCCTCCTGATACTCATCGACCTTATGTAGTCTGTGTGATGTCACCTAACCTTTCTCCCTGTACGCCATTAACTGACAGACTTTCCAAGACTACCCTGAGGGCAGCACTCCAGCTGGCCCCTGAAAGTATTCACTCTGCAGTAATCTCCAACCGGTTGAGCCTGGAGGAAGCCTGGATGCCTTTGTCTTCCACCCAAGCACTCTGCTGCCACCTAGTGGCGTCCACACATGCTCACAACAGTCGTGGCTTATTTGAAGCAGGTAGAATCAGTGGCCACAGAAGCAGCTTGTCTCAGACTTGGAAACATGTTTTTCTTTCTCTCCAACTGCCATACTTCAGACATAATATTCAAAGCCAAACAGATACAAAGGTGCCTAATGAGACCTCACGCCCAAGGCTGAAAGGTGTGCGCTAAACCTCCTGTGAAGAAATGGCCTGAGGCTTGTCTCAGCGGCCCTCAGACTCCAGCTGAGCCCTCTTGGCCCAGCCTTCCAGCCGCTGCTCTTCTAACTACACTTTTGGCCTTAAAATCCTGGTGAATCAGGATGTGCCTGTGGACACCCCAGCCACAGCTTCTGCTCCACTGGTCGGGGCCTCTTATGAAGTGTTTATATTTAGAGATGTTTATATTTAAGTAGCTATTTTATAAATAAAAGTATTTCTATTGGCCATAAGTGTTTTCTTCATCTTGATTTTGAGTTTTTTTTTCATCCTTGCCCAGCTGAGTCACAAGGGGCCCTGTTTTCTTTCAATACTAATACAGCAGTGGTTCTCTTTTTTCTTATTTTTTTAATAAGTTTTTTTTTTTATGTACATTAGGGTTTTGCCTGCATGTATACCTGTGTGATGATGCCAGATTGCCAAGAACTGGAGTTACAGTTGTGAGCTGCCGTGTGGTTGCTAGGAATTGAACCCCATCCCTTGGAAGAGCAGCCAGTGCTCTCAACTGCTGGGCCATCGCTTCAGCCCCCTACGGCAGTGTTTCTCAACCCATGGGTCATGACCTCTTTGGGGATTAGATATCCTATATATTATGATTTATAATAGTCACAAATTATAGTTATGAAGTAGCAATGAAATAATTTTACAGTTGGGGTCACCACAACATGACGAACTGTATTAAAAATTTGCAGCATTAGGAAGGTTGAGAACAGTTTCTGGTCATAGATTTGAGTCTTTAATCCACTTTGGGGTGTTTTCCCCTTTTTGGGGATGCAGTGAGATGATCTTGTTATGAAGTGAGATCCTTTTGCCTCACCTGGGTTTTGGGGTTACAAGTATATGTTTACTCTGCCAGCCAGGAGTTTGTTTTTTTTTTTTAATATAATATGTCTGGTGTATGGTGCATACCTTCAGCCCCAGAGCTTGGGAGGCAGAGGCCGGAGGAACACATCACTTTCCATTGAGTTTTTTTTCCATTATTCACATAGAGCGGCAAGCTGTTCTTGAACCCAGGACCTCGGGAACAGTGGTCGGCGCTCTTAGCCTCTACACCACCTGTGCAGCTGCTTTTCCATTGAGTTTTTAAGCAACTAAAGTTTGTCATTTCTAGATTTCTGTTTCCTCTGAACTTCTATGTCTTGGTTGAGTTTTTCATCCAAATTATTGAATTTCTCATCCCAGGAGTTTAATCCCTTGTCCAGATTCTGAATTTGTTCTTTCCTTCTTTTGTTCTGAGTGTTTCAAGTGTTCTCACCATAAAAAAAAAAAAAAAAAAATGTTCCCCCAACAGCCTGCACAGCATCTTCCAGTACTGTGAAAACAAATGAACCAGAAACCCGGCTGTAAACCCATGGCTGGCAAGCGCACAGGCCCCAGGGACAGAACCTACTCCTATTGTTTTGCTAAGTGCACATAGCATCAAGCTGCCGTCTAAATTTATATCTCTACCCGTAGATGAGTGCAGTTCTCAGTCCTCAGAGACGTTTCTTTGGGCAGTAGACAGTGGTTAGCACAGAAAGTCACAGCTGGTCAAGTCGGGGTCCAGCCTCGATGGGGTTAACACATCTTAGGGTAGGGGTGTGAGGATTGGAAATATCAGGTGGGAGGAACAGAAGCAGGATAGCACTGGGAGGATAATTCAGGGAATGCTGTTTGCCCGCATCTATCTTTCATACACTTGTACACCCCAATCCAAAAGGACGGGGTGCGGGGAGGCAAAAGACTGCTCTAACACGATACAGAGAACAAACAGCGCCATTACCTGCCTCGGTACCTGAGACATCAAGCAACTATATCCTGAGTTAAGCATTCTGTTGTTCAGGCAGGACAGGCAGCAACCATACCTTAGACCAAGCATCCTGTAGGCAGCTACTCCCTGGGTCAAACCTCCTGTCAACACCCTTGAAGGAACAAAAATAGGCCTGAATTCACTGAGCTTTGGTCAAGGTGGAATGGACCCACATCTGTGGGCCCCCACGTGGTCAGAGTGCAGAGAACATCATCAGTGGAGTGCTGAGTCACACAAAATGGCGCGTCTGTAACATCACATCCCCTCTCCAGAGACTCAGACCATCGAAGAAGCGGGAGCAGAAAAAGAGCCAGAGGTCAGGGAAGGCTGAAGTGAAACACCTAGATAGGACAGAAGAGATGCCTGCATGACAAGACCAAGCCAGTCAACGTTCTAGCGTGGAGTGGAAAGCGTTTCACGGGCCCCCACCCCTAATCAAGAAGCTATGGATAGTTAGGGACTCTGGGGGGGGGGGGGGGTCTCAGGCTTCTTAAAGGCTGTGGCTCTAGGTAAGTTGACCACACTCCAGTGGATGGCCCCAACCTCGTATGTATGGGCAGTACAAATTAGAGTTGAGAATTATTAAAGCAAAGGAAGTTGTGGGTCTGGGGGTGATCCAAGGAGTTGCGGAGACTCTGGGTGCTAAATATGATCAAAATGCATTATAGGAGGGGATCTGACACCTTCACACCAATGCACATAAAATAAAGTTAAATAAACCATAAAAAAATGCATTATAGGAAACCCAATAAAATACTTTAAAAATAATTGGGCATTCTGCAGTGTGTGAATGATTTAAAATGTTGCTCATGATAAACTTATACAATTTTTGTCAATGGAAAAATGAAGGCCGAAACATCAACTCAGTGTAAACAGCAAGTTGGAGGGGACTTTAGAGCTGGCTCTGGTAGCAAACCCGTGTAGGCTTTGTTAGAAGACATCACCTGTGCTGGGGAGAGGACCGGATCAAAGGCAGGAGAAGCAGTTGCTGGGGATATGAATTCTTAACTGACTTAGGCAAAAAATTGGGAATGCAAAAGAAAAATAACCTATAAAGAATATGAAATTGAAGCTGGACGGTGGTGGCACAAGCCTTTAATCCCAGCAGCACTTAGGGAACAAAGGCAGGCGGATCTCTGTGAGTTCAAGGCCAGCTCTGGTCTACAGAGCATGTTCCAAGACAGCCAGGGCTACACAGAGAAACCTGTCTCAAACAAACAAATGAAAAACAAAATGAAATGGAAAAACTAAAGAAATCATTGGCAAAAGGGTAATAATTGGGCCAGTAGCAATTTTATAAAAAGTATATATTTTTCTTAATACTAGAAGCCTCCTAGGCCTCTTGTTACCTAAGATGGCATCTGCAGAGCGGCAGAGCCACATGGCCATCACCTGGAAACTGTGGTCAAGGCTGGCCCCAGATTAGCGTGTGCAGCGAAGGCTGAGACACGGCCCCCGCAGGGTTACTATCGCTGTGATGAAGCGCTGGCCCCAGATTAGTGTGTGCGGCGAAGGCTGAGACACGGCCCCCGCAGGGTTACTATCGCTGTGATGAACTGCTACAACCAGAGCAACTGGGGAGGAAAGGGTTTGTTCAGCTTACACATCCCAAGTCACAATCTAATGCAAGAACTCAAACAGGGCTGGGACCTGGGTGCAGGAACTGACAGAGAGGCCGTGGAGGAGTGCTGCTTATTTGCTCCTCATGGCTTGTTCAACCTGCTTTGTTATAGAGCCTAGCACAGGACCACCAGACTGGGCCACATCAATCACTAGTTAGGAAAAGGCTCAATCTTATGAGGCATTTTCTCAACTGGGGTGCCCTCCTCTTGGATGACTATAAATTGTGTCAGGTTAACTTAGGAAGCACAATGTCTATCTAGGTAATTTTTAAGCCTAAAAACTAAATTAAACTTTTAAAAAATTTACATGTATGTGTATGAGCGCGCATGTGTGTGTGTGTATGTCATATGTACATGGGTGCCTGCGAAGCTGAAGTTCCAGGAAGCTCTGAGCTGCTCAGTGTAGGCACTGAGACAGGACTCCAGCCCACTGCAAGAACAGCAAGTGCTCTTTACCACTGAGCCATCTCTCCAGCCTCTAAAACTGATTTTTTGAAATAGAGTCTCTATTATAGCCCAGGCTAGCCTCAACTGTGATCTTCCTATGTTAGTCTCTTAAGCTGCCTGCATCACCACACTCAACCAAGCAGATAATTTAATAGTGAAAGCGTCTTTAAAAAAAAAAAAAAAAAAAAGTTTATTATGTATACAGTGTTCTGCCTGCAGGCCAGAAGAGGGCACCAGATCTCAAGATCTCATCACAGATGGTTGTGAGCCACCATGTGGTTTCTGGGAAATGAACTCGGGGGGCCTTTGGAAGAGCAGCAGTGCTCTTAACCTCTGAGCCATCTCTCCAACTCCAAGCAGTTAATTTTTAATAGATTTTTTTTTAAGACAAGTTCTCTCTACATAACCCTGTCTGTCCTGTAGCTCACTATGTAGACCAGGCTGGCCTCGAACTCAACAAACGATCCACCTGCCTCATGCTCCCCAAGTGCTGGGATTAAAGACGTGCACCACCACGTCTGGCTGGCTAAAAAGTTAGAAAGAGGCTCCTGCTGTTCAAACACTGTGGGAAGTCACCGAAGAAGCCTCCACACCCGTGTCTGCCTGCTTTCTGACTCTCTGGCTTTCTCTGCCTGTCTGAAGTAGCTCTTTATTCTCTCACCTGCCATCACTAGAGCAGGGATGGATACAGGGAGCCTGCATTTAGACAGCGGTGATTTCAGGTCTCCCTCCTAAGATAATGAGAATCACATGTTTGCAAACGCAGGCGCTGTGAACTGGAGGACCTGGTTCCCGGGGAGGACTGCATTTTCTGTTTTAACTGATTTCAAAGCTGAGACTCTGCTGTGTGGGTTTCCAGGGCCAGGAATGGGCCCTAGGAACCCTGCCAAGAGGGCTGGAGAGATGGCTCAGATGGTAAGAACACTGATTGTTCTTCCAGAGGTCCTGAGTTCAATTCCCAGCAACCACATAATGGCTCACAACCATCTGTAAAGAAATCTGGTGCCCTCTTCTGGCCTGCAGGCACACATGCAGACAGAACACTGTATAAACAAAATAAATAAAATAAAATAAAGAACCCTTCCAAGATAAGCGCTTACTCGAAGTCCCTTTCCCAGGCACCCCCAGCAGCTTTCCTCTGTAGTCAATAGCATTCTGTAGCAACGGATTCTGCTTCCCCTTTGCAAGGCGCAGCAGGATATAGTGCCAGGCAGGATTAAAAGCCAACGACCTTTCCACTGGCCTCAACTCCAGTGTGCTGGGATTACAGGCACACACAACACCTGACTCATATTAAAACTTTTACAAAGTACTTGGGTGCCTGGGTCTCAGCACCACTTAGAGATGTGTGTGTGTGTGTTTGAGACAG